TGCCATTATTTGAACTTTTAAAAAAGAACCAAAATGCTAATTTGGTCATAAAAATGAAATTTAACTTCTACAAAATGAGAAGGCACATGTCATTACTAGCACATTCTCTCATTGTAGGCAAGCCAAAAAGAAAGTCAAATTATATTCATAAATTTTGATAAATTTAGAACCAGAACCAGGGGAGTTTATGATATAGTTCTAGAGTTTAATGGTATCAGTTTAATAGAAACACATTTGCCAGAGATATCTTCATTACTTTTCTTATACTTTAAGTAGCTCTGTTAGCAGCTGTGTAAAGAAATGTAGGAAATCAGCATTTCTCTCTACATTACAGCCTTTGCCCCTTTTAGTAGTGCCTTTTTTTTTTTCCATCAGCTTTTGCCAATGACTCATTCACATTGTCCTGTGATTTGACTTCTTTGAAGCCTGGGAGGGATGAAGCAGGGCATTAGAAAATACAGTGTATAGACAAGTTTGTCAAGCTTGACTTAAAGTTATGACTAATTTGAGGTTATTTCATCATTGTTATTTTCCACAGAAAAATCAGAATAACAGTGACTCTCATCTCACTTTTCCACAGCCCAACTACAGCCCTAAATCCTTTGTTTCTAAACACTGTGTTAAATGTTCTTAGGTGTTATGTCCTTGTTTGCCATAAATTTCTAACTCTATGCTGTTTTTTGTCCTTGTGCAATCTTTACTGGGCAGAGTTTAAAAGCCGCCCAACTGGTGGATATTGAGCTCTCCCCTGTCAGTGCTCTGAAAATGACCATAGCTGAGGTATATGGGGTGTGGGACAAGGGTGGGAGGGATGGGCCATGTGGGTTTGCATGTTAATAAAGGGTGGGACCTGGTGTTGGGATGAAACTTATGTATATATACATATAAAAGGCCCCTGATGCATCAGCTGTGTTTTCTCTTATAAATTAAGAATTTCCTTCCCTGTTTATAGTGAAGAAATTGAGCTACTCATTTTTCATCTTGTGTGAAACACCTTAATTTTCTTCAGCAGGTGTGCTAGAGAGAACCTTAGAGCTAATCTTGTCTTTATTAAAGGGGAAACTGTAGTAGGCTAGTAAGGGAGACTTGTCCAGAGTCATGGAGTAAATTAATGACACGTTACTGTTGTGATTGCAATAGTAATGTTCTTTCTGCTATGCTAGGCTTTCTTCTAAGAAGAAGTGTTCAGCACTTGGGAAGCAATTTGTTTTTTCATAATGGAAAAAGATAAATTGCGTATGATTTAAAAAATCATTCCAGACCGTCAGTCATTTAAGAAGTCTTTTTTTTTTTTTTTTTAAGACAGGGTCTCACCCTGTCGCCCAGGCCAAAATGTAGTGGCATAATCACAGTTCACTGCAGCTCAACCTCCTGGGCTCAAGCAATCCTCCCACCTCAACCTCTGGAGTAACTGGGTCTACAGCTAATTTTTTTTTTTTTTTTTTTTTTTTTTTTTGGTAAAGAGGGAATCTCGCCATGTTGCTTAGGCTGATCTTGAATTCCTGGTCTCAAATGATCCTCCTGCCTCAGCCAGACGTTTATTATTGTCTAGCTCTGATTATAATCATCCTAATGGATATGAAATAGTATCTCATGGTTCTGATTTGCATTTCCCTAATGACTAATGATGTTGAGTTATCTTTTCATGAGTCTATTAGCCACTCATATATCTTCTTTGGTAAAATGCCTATTCAAACCTTGTTTCTATTTTTTTATTGAATTGTGTGTACTTGTTATAGATTAGATCTTGAAGATGAATTGCAGTTTACTCTGCATAGAGGGAGAAACAACATGCCAGGAAGGGAAAACAAAAGTTGAAAAGAATAAAAATAATAGGTAACATTCATTGAACATTTATTTAATGCTAGACATTTTTCTAATGGTATTACCTATATTAATTTATTTTATCTTCACAACAACCCTATATTATAGGCACTATTTGTAATCCCTCTTTTACAGTTGAGGAAACTAAAGTTAGGAAATCTGGCTGGGTGCAGAGGCTCACGCCTGTAATCCCAGCACTTTGGGAGGCCAAGGTGGAGGCATTGCTTGAGCCCAGGAGTTTGAGACCAGCCTGGGCAATATGGTGAAACCCTGTCTCTATGGGAAAAAAAAAAAAAAAAAAAAAAAAAAAAAACCAGAAAACTAGCTGAGCATGGTAGCACATACCTGTAGTCCCAGCTACTCAGGAAGCTGAAGTGGGAGGATCACTGAGCCTGAGAGGTAGAGGTTGCAATGAGCCGTGATCATGCCACTGCACTCCATCCAGGGTGACAGAGCAAGACCCTGTCTCAAACAGCAACAACAAAAAATAGAAAGAAAAGCAATTTGCTTTGCTCAAGGTCACTCAGCTAGTAAGTGTTAGAGACAGAAAAGTTTGAAAGTACATGACTGTACCTGAAATAGCAAGTAGACTTAGTGATGAAAGTGGGTTGCAACCAGGTGTTATTTTTGAGTTTTATACATGATTGTAAATGGAGAACTGTGTACTCAGGTAAGATAGCAGCATGATGAGATCCATTGCAGGGCAGTACAGAATTGTTCTTTTATTTTACATTTTATAGTTTGAATTAGGAATTTTGAACTGCATAGGGTTTAACACATTTATTTTTCATTTACTAAGCAGATACTTACAAATACTTTGCATATGCCCTTGCCTTACAGATGAGAATTCAGTAAATATTTTATCTAAATTTAAGATATATTTAGGAAAGTTATAGGACTTTTAAAGTTACCCCTATGATAAAATGTAACTCTTATTTTCTTCTGATGATTTTCGTAAACTGTTTTAAAAATTTTTTTAACTTTTGAATATAACCCATTTCAAACCACACTGTTTTCCCTACAGAAGTCCAAGACACCCAGTTGAATGTATATTCACAATATTATTATAGTTATTAGGGCTTTTTTGGGTAGAATTTTAGTATTACCGAAAGATGGCTACAAGTGACAGTGACCAATGGCAAGCTTTGTCTTTTGTAATAACTTAATAGCTGTCTCATGGTTAATACTGAAGACTTTTCTTACCTATTTTCCATAATAGTTATTGATTTCTAAAGTGTTCTTTCTTTATATCTTCAATTATCATTTTTCAGATGATACCAGAGAGCCAGAGCTCTTTCTAGAAAAAGTAAAGTACATTTTTTTTTTTTTTTTTTGCTGAAATGACTTTTTGATGCAGAATTATTCTGAGGAAGATATGGAATTTGCCTTAAAATCCTCTTCTCTATAGTAAGGATATTCTGTGAGAGAGAACTGACAAGCACATTTATTAGGATCTCAATGTTAGAGTCATTCAGCTGACATATGGGTCACACTGGGGTTAGTGATTCATACAGGTGTTGTACAATGGAGAAAACATAGGTTTTGGTGTCTAAACTAGCATTTTATATATATTTAACTTTTGTGATTCAGCTTCCTCATTTGTGAAATGACAACAGCTCTCCCTTGGTATCCATGATTCTAGGAACCTCTTCGTGTACCAAAATCCACAGATGTTCAAGCCCTCTATATAAAATGTTGTAGTATTTGCATATAACCTATTCATATTCTTCGTATACTTTAAATCATCACTAGATTATAATCCCTAATACAATGTAAATGCTATGTTAATAGTTGTCCTATTACATTGTTTAAGGAATAAGACAAGGAAAAAGGTCTATATATGTTCAGTACAGACACAACTATCCTTTTTTTTTTTTTTTTTTTTTTTTTTTTTTTAAAAAAAATTTTTTTTTTTTTTTTTTTTTTTTTTTTTTTTTTGCTTTTTAAAAAAAAATTTTTTTTGATCCATGGTTGGTTGACTCCAGATAGATAACCCACAAATATGGAAGGCCAGCTATACCTTATTGGGTTTGAAAATTAGATAGGATACTAAGCATTTTACTCAGTGCCTGGCACATTGAGTCAGAACAGATGTTGACTGACTTTTTAAAATCTTTCCACAGGACAAACATATTTCTTTCTTTTCTTTTCTTTTCTTTTTTTTTTTTAGTACTTTTTCCCCTAATTGCTATAGGAAATACCAATATCAAATATAGAAGGCATTACAGATCTTGAAATACTTGGAATACTTTTGCAGTTGTGATCCCTAGCCCTCAACTCCCTTGTTGGATTGATCACTAAAACTCTCCTGGGACTTTTGTTCACCTACTTATTCCACAAGGAGGATCTCATCAACGTCCCTTTTGGCAGTTTGTACATCTGAAAGGCAATCTGTTTGGAATAATTTTAAGTACCTGACTTGTACTTTTCAACACCTTTGCCCTACATACATCTCAGTGAGCTTTTCCTTTATTACTAGAACTCGTGATGAGTGCCATTAGGGGCATTTTGTCACATCCTGTGAAAAAGGACAAGGTGAAGCTGGGATGGGAAATAATATGGGAAACATGCATTCCACAAAACTTAGGTAAGTATCATCTATACAGGCAGGAAAAACTTAAGGAAACATTTTCAAGTTTCCTAGTGGGGATGAGAATACCCTTACCCCTTTACCTTCCTTGAACAACAAATAACAAGATCTTCACAGATATCGATAGCAAAAAGTGACACTGAATTTCTGATATATGATCTTTTCCTGTTATTCTAGATGCTATTTCTGATATTAAATTCTACCTTCTATAGATTAACAATTATAGTAAGAAAAATGTCCACTTGCTGTAGTTGAGAACTTTTACACATCAAAGTTTTTACGTAAGGGGAGTGATTTATGCATCTATTAAAAATAAATCTTTGGCAAAAATTTCCCTTGTCTATAAAAGAATGCATGGGGTTAATACACTGTGCAGGAAATGTACCTGAAAATTCTCATTGTTATGGGTGACTCTTTCTGCTTGTAGAAATTTTGTACTGCATATAGCATTGTCTCATAAACATGAAAGGCTATGATAAAAATTGTGGGAAGTCCTCCTATTGAGTAAATAGGTTCCGTCCTCTTATACATATGCTTGGCACAGTATCCAAAAATTAGAGGCTTTGACTAAAGACAAGAGGATCACTTTTTTTTTCCCCACTAGGAAGTACTTTAATAGTTTTTCTTAGAAAAAAAATTTCCAGACACTTAACATTTCAACAGCAAAATATTAGTTGAGAGAGGGGTTTTCAGGAGTTGGGGATTCTAGAATATTAGGAAGAAATGTTGATATCCCCATTCATTATAGATGGATGGCATAGGTCACAGATGGGAAACTGGCTGCTAAGCCAATATCAAAACCCAGCGGAATGACACTTCTATGGAGTTTACTTTCCTTCCTGCTGTCTTCCCTATCCCTTGGAAATGTCTATCACCATGTAAAGCCCAGTAGCAGTGAACTTAGGCTCCAGTCAAGGGAAGGTCTGGCTCCAAGTCAAGGGAAGGGAAGGTCATTCCTGAGTTTCCATGCTTTCTTCTTCCTCTCCTTGAGGTGGTTCTTCTGTATTCTCCTCCTCTTCCTCTCCTTCCTTCTTCTCTGGTGGCTTCTCATAAGCCTTTTCTGAAGGTGTTACTATCACTCCATCCCAGGGAGATATTTCAGAAGCAAGATAGCTGGCATCACCCTCCTGGCCAAGGATCTTCCTAAAGCCACCATGTGAGAGGATTTGGACGAGTGTCTGAGCTATATAGCAGACCATGTCCTGCTGTTCTAGGGTCATGACTGTGTGTACTCTGAAGTTGCCACTCTCACAGGGGTCAGTGATACCCACTGAACCTGGCAGGAACAGTTCTGCAGCCGGAATCTGTAAGCAGCGTCTATATGCAACGTTTAGGGCCAAAGGCTATCTGGTGGGGTTGTTCAACACAGCATAATGACCTAGTAGGTCAAGGATCCAGGGTGTGAGGGGCTCAAAGCCAGGAAAACGAATCCTCAAGTCTTTCAGTAGTCTGATGAGAACTTTAACTGTGGACTGAGAAGCATTTTCCTCAAACCAGTGGGCATGTGGGATGACTGCTAAGGCACTCTGCAATATCTTGATATCCAAATGGAGTTCTGGGTCCAGTTTTCGAAGATTGGGTGGCACTGTTGTAATGAGAATCTTCACTCTAGCATCATAAGAACTGATTTCAAAGCCAGTTTCATTGGTCAGCATGGTTAAAACTTCAGAAGAATCCTGTGCTCTTAGGCTTTCCACGACATTGTTCCCCAGGGCAGCAATAGCTTCCAATGTTGGCAGAATCTTGAGTATCACCACCAGGTCAGTCACATTGTGTCCTGTAGTCATCGTCCCCTTTTTATAGGATCCCACCTGTCGAACTTCAATTTGCACTTCAAATGTCCCTGGAGCCACAATCAGATTGTCAATCGCATTGTTTATTTTCGTCACCAGGGAAAGGATAGAATTGGGAACCAGGTCCTGATTCCTCTTCAGCAAGGCCTAACTGAAGTTTCATCAGGTGCTGGCTTGACCCAGGGGAAGGCCATTTCACACAAATAGAAGTCAAATGGGATATGTAGTACAAAGGGCCTGAACCCTCTTCCTGGGCCTCCTCTGGAACTAAAGCGCCCACCACACCACAGCCTCTGTCACCCCTCATGGTGCCTTAAAACCCGAACAATAGCCAGGCGCGGTGGCTCACACCTGTAATCCCAGCACTTTGGGAGGCCAAGGCGGGTGGATCACAAGGTCAAGAGATTGAGACCATCCTGGTCAACATGGTGAAACCCCGTCT